GTTTGAGGTGACTGCTCTTAGAACCGATGCTGGCGACTAGTGCACCTTCAGAGATCTCTCCCTCGGCACAACGACGAATAAGCTGACTGTCTGAAGGCTTCCCCAGTTTAATGCCTTCCTTAAGGGATCACAGAAGTAATTTCTTCCGTAATCCACAGCAGAGCCGGTGAAAAATCTTTGATAGAGAACTTTGCGGGTATCAAACTATGAGGCTGCACTGATGAAACTGCAGCGAGTGTCACTTTTTTGCTGTATCTATTGCTCTGGAAGGTATTCGTTTATAATAATATTATTGTCTTCAATGACTAGAGTACCATGAGATGGCGTAACTGGGCAACAGCAATTCGGTAGGTTGATGGTTAGTGTATATTTGGCAACCAACACTTTTCGAGGCCGAATACCCCCCCCCCCCAATTTCAGTTGTTACATCCTATTGATAATGCTCCTTACGTGTTTGGCAGATGCTGTTTACCAGGCCTTCTGCTCACAAAGAGCTTTTTCTTTGTAAGTTTATATTAATGATGATGCAGATCATTTCTATCGTGCTTATTCCCTAACATTACAGCTATAGGCACTTTATAATGCTTTCTTAACACAGAAAACATGTGCATGAATTTAAATGCATATAGTCTTTAGATTATTTTAAAGACAAAAGCGGACATTTACATTATAACAGCACTGTGGATCACAGTATGAACATACATACGATAACCTAAGAATTAGGACTAACTATCAAGGTGGCATTTTACGAGGTATGTTTTAAATTTATTTTCGGTTTTGCCCCTAATCTTTCCATCAAATATTTAGAAGAGAGTCCCAAATAGATAGAGCAAGGTTATTAAGGTACATGCACATCTATAAGGGAACCATAATATGGGCGACCGTATCGGGCACCGGTAACTGCAATGACTCCTTGGGGCTTCGTGGCGGATTGTGCGTGCCACAATTGTCAGATCAGGGTCACACAGGATGGCTCTGGTGTGTGTTTAGCTGTCAAATTAAGGTACACCACGGCAGCCTAAAAAGTCGATTTTGGTATCCAAAACCGATTTTTCGATTTTGGACTATTTTAGTAGAACAACATCTGCTTTATCGATTGGAAATATTTTCAAGTGTCCAAAACATCTATAAAGTGCTCACATATGCCATGTATTTTAACATTGTGTGGTAATAAAATGGTATGAATTCGTGTTTTTTAAAGTTTTCTAAAAACTATGATTTTCTTAGGGGGGTGGGTCACCTTGGCAGAGATATTTCTAAAAGTACTCGTCGCAGCTGAATCCAACTTTGCATGACTGTTTCTAGATAATATGTTTGCAACGTACTAAAAGATTATTGTGATATTGTAATAAGTCTTCCGTCAGTGGTAAAAAGATTGGCTGTATCACTCTGATTTGTGATCATTTTTTTGTCCAAGTATCGTATATGACACTAAAAGGGCAGTTACAAGAAAAGTATGAGACTTAGGAAAGTAAATCTTTAGTACGTTGCAGGTTGTATATACACAAACTCTGTGTGACAATATCAAGGCTGTATCAATTCAATCTTTTTCAGAATCCCTGCCAACAATTTGCGCGAATTTTGGTCTGTCGAACCCTTTGCATCTTAAAAATTCAAAAAATTGACAGTGAAATCATATAGGGATAGCGTGTTTTTGTTTCTTGACCCGTACTGGTTATTGGGAATCCCAGTACACTTAATTTAGAGCCCAAACAAATTTTTTTATTTCAGCTGTACCTAGTTCACCTTAAGGTAATGCCTCAATACCCTGTAGCTTTTCTTAAGGTTGCCATTTCGAAGATACATTTGTAGCTGACGGACTGTTGTTGGGTCGTCCGGGGATGGGAGGAGTAAATGGGGTTAGCTACTATTATTATTGGTAGTGACGTGGTTGTTTTTTTTCTTAGATATGGACAATCTTTTGTGTTCAGATTTATTGTTTTAGCCTTATTTTGTCGTGGTTGATGTGGTCGCGATAGTTGCCTTTCGTCGTCTTATTTTGCTGTCTTAAATGTTTTCGTCTTTTTACTTAGAAATTATTATCTTTAAACTATTCCCTCTGAATTCTTAAAAAAATAAAAGTGTGAAAACGTAACTTACTTACTTACTACCCATTACGCCATCTGGCGTTTAGGGCAGCAACAAAGGATCTCCAGCTCTGTCTGTTTTGGACCATCTTGGTCAGCGTTCTCCACGAATGATTCCAGGACTTCATTTCAGACTCTACTGTGTGTCTCCAGGTCACTTTTGCGACGTCCTTCGGGTGTCCAGTGGAGGGCAGTCGTCACAATAGAGTCTGGTTCTCTTCTCAGAAAATGCCCAATCCATCTCCATCTTCTTCTTTTTATTATGGTGGTCATGTCTTCTTGCCTACATTTTCGTAA